AGCAATCTACAGATTCAATCCAATCCCCATCAAAATACCAATGACATACTTCACAGAACTAGAACAAATACTTCCAAAAGTTCATATGGAACTAAAAAAGCCCTCAAATACCACAGAACAAAGTTGAAAGGATCACATTACCAGATTTCAGGTTATACTACAAAGCCACTGTAATCAAACCAATCTGGCACAGGAACAGGCATATAGACCAGTGGAACAGAACAGATAACCCAGAAATGGACCCAAGGCAATATGCTCAATTAATATTTGACAAAGGTGGCAAGAGCATGCAGTGGAGTAAAGACAGCCTCTTTAATAAATGGTGTTGGGAGAATTGGACAGGAACATGCAAAAAAATTAAACTAGACCATCAACTTACACCATACACAAGAATAAACTCAAAATGCATAAAATACTTAATTGTCACTCATGAATCCATAAAAATCCTAGAAAAAAACTGTAGGTAACAAAATTTCAGACATCATACGCAGCAGAATTTTCACTGATACATCACCTAAGGCAACAGAAACAAAGGACAAAATGAACACGTGAGACTACATCAAACTCAAAAGCTTCTGCACAGCAAAAGATACAATCATCAAAATAGAAAGGCAATCCACTGTATGGGAGAGCATAATTACCAATGACATATTAGATAAGGGGTTAATTTCCAATATATATAGAGTGCTCATACAACTCCACTAAAGAAGACAAAAAACCCAATTACAAAATGGGCAGAGGAACTAAATAGATGCCTCTCCAAACAGGACATACAAATGGCTAAGAGACATAGGAAGAAATGCTCAACATCACTAATCAACAGAGAGATGAAAGTTAAAATAACATTACCTCACACCTGTCAGAATGGCCGCCATCTACAAATCATCAAACAACAAGTGTTGGCGAGGGTGTGGAGAAAAGGGGACTCTAGTACACTGCTGGTGGGAATGCAGACCAGTGCAGCCACTATGGAAAACAATATGGTGTTACCTCAAAAAAATTAAAAATGGAACTTCCATTTGACCCAGTGATCCCACTTCTAGGAATATACCCTAAGAAGTCTGGAACACCAATCAGAAAGAACATATGTACTTCCATGTTTGTAGCAGCACTATTTATAATAGCTAAGATCTGGAAACAGCCCAAATGTCCATCAGTAGAAAAATGGATAAAAAAACTGTGGTAAATAGACACAATGGAGTACCATGCAGCTGTAAGAAAGAAAGAACTCTTATCCTTTGAGATGACATGGAGGGACCTGGAAACTATTATCCTAAGCGAAACAAGCCAAAGAGAGAAAGACAAGTATCATATGATCTCACTTATTTGTGGAATATAATGAACATAACAGTCTGAGGAATGGGGTAGTCCCAGAGACATGGAAGTAGGGGACAGACTGACAATCCCCAGAAGAGGGGTGGCGGAGAGATAAACCACAGAACTTATATGCATGTATGCATGAGCAATGGACATGGACAACACAGCTGGGGACAGGGTGGGGAGGGAGGGGGAGGAAGGAATTAGTAGGGGGAAAAGGAGAAACATCTGTAACAAAAATAAATAATAATAAAAAAATTAAATAACATTTTTGTTAAAAGCTGTGGTACATATACAGAGTGGAACATTATGAAGTTGTAAGAAAGAAAGACCTCCTTTCCTTTGAGACAACATGGAGCGACCTGGAGAATATTATGCTAAGCAAAATAAGCCAATCAGAGAAAGGCAAATACCACATGATTTGTCTCATTTGTGGAATATAATGAACAAAAAAATGCTGATGAACAAAACAGACCCAGAGACATAGAAAAGAGCATGGCTCAGACTGACAAACCTCAGAGAAGAGGGGTTGGGGGGAGGAGAGGGAAGAGATAAACCAAAGACCTTATGTGCATGTATGCGTTATCAATGGACAGAGACAACAATGCTTGATGGGGGGCAGGACTGGGAGGAGGATGTCTATAGGGGGAAGATGAGAAACTTCTGTAACAAAACAATTAATAAAGACATAAAAGGGGGGAGGGGGAGGGGGGTGATTGGCTGTAGTATGAGGCTCCTTGAGAAGCCAGGCTCTGGGCCAGGGGTGCATTTCACATCAGAGGAGTATGTAGTCCTGGATACACTGATGGTTGACATGCGAAAATAGATACACTGGTGCCAGGAGTTCCCATTTTCCAAAATATAATAAAATGCGGATATTTAGGGGAAATGTGCACATTTTCTATCTGGGGTCCTTCTTTGCAAACTCTTGAAAGCCTGACATGTCAGCAGAGGCCAGCTACAGCCACAGCCCCGGAAGCTGTTTCTTTAAGGCACAGAACTCCCCAACACTGCCTGAGGGAAGGGTGCCCAGGAAGACTGAGGCAGGAGGACTCAGAGTGCCGGGTCCAGGCTGTGGGCATTGCTGAGGAGGGTCCTCAGATGAGCTCCCTGGGGAACAAAGGCAGCCTGAGCCAGGAGCAGAGCTGGAGGCAGTGACCTTGGGCTGGGAGCAGGAAGACCTGCTGGTTCTCCTCCTCCCTCCCCTGGGGCCAGGCCCAGGACCTGTCCTCTCTGTGTCCCTGGTACTTATTCAGGAACGGCCAGGGTCCAGCATCCTGGGGAAGGGCTAGGGCCCAGACTGCGCCTGAGCATACAATGTCCCCACACTGGCAGAAGGAAGGGCTGGGTGACTCCAGGGTGGTGGTGAGGTCAGGGAGGGTCAGGAGGAGGCAGAGGAAGAGAGTCGTCAGCAGACTTCTGGAACCTCAGCTAAGGAAGGATTTTCCTTCTATGGCGGGGTCTCCTGTGCAGGGTCTTCAAGTCCTTCCTGCCTCACCCAACAGCCGACCTTGCCCCTGGGGTCTCCGGGCTGCCTCAGGCACACACAATGACAGGGAGGAGAAAATGACCCCCGAGTGTCTGGGGCACACAGGCCTGGGTGCTCAGCTTAGACATCAGAGAGGGTGTCTTCAGGTTGACTTCACTCCTCTGTCATTTATCTAAGGGGGGCCTGGTGAGAGCACTGCTGCACCCCGTATGGGGACCAGGACGCCCGGGTCAGACGCCCACGGGGGGTTTGTACCTGTGCGGGGAATGAGGCTGGGGGCCTCGTGTGCTCCATGGTCAGGGGCCCCTGGGTGCTCCAGGCCCAGCCCAGCCCCTCACAGAGGACCCTCAGGGACACTGGTGAGGACCCGGCTGAGGGGGTGCACAGATGTGTCCAGACGCAGATGCCTCCTCTGAGTCCCCTGGGATTTCTGCTTTGGAGGGTGGCGTGCACTAACTGTGATCAGAGGGGAGACAGCACTCAGCCCTCCTCACACAGACTTTCTTTTTCTGCCCTTGCAGAAAACTACAATGTGGGGTTTTATACTTCGCCCCTACAACCAGATAAATTGGATCAATATATTTGCAGATACACTCTTCACGACGGCACAGTCTACAGTACGTAGCCCCTTTGGTGCCTCTGGGTGACCAATGTCCTACACCACACTGCATCCACCTCCGCCAGCCAAGCCCCCAAAGCCCTTGCTGACCATTTGCTGGGGACGCTCTGGGGACAGAGGCCACTTGGACAAGTAGAAGGAGGACCCTATTTCAGAAGCCTGGCCACCTCCTTTTTCAGATGCAAAGCTGGGAGTTAATCCCTCCCCCTGACCACAGCAGCATCCTGGGCAGGGCTTCCCCCTGCCGAGGATGGTCTGGACTCTGGGTCTGCCCTCAAGCTGCATCACCACACCCTCCGCTCAGCTACCTGGTCCCCGGAGAGAGGAGTCATGAATCCCATGAGGATGCTGATGGGGATAGAAGCAGTTACGGGGACCTGGCTCCTGCAATTTGGCACTGACATACATTGCCTGTGTGACCTTGACCAAATGAGTTACCTGTTCACAGCCTCTATTTTCTCCCCTGTAAAATGGGGCCCGTATGAGAGCTGTACTAACTAAGCTCTACAACATATGTAGAACAGGAAAACCTGAGGGGTATTAGCTAAGGTGCCTCAGGAACAAGCTAAGGGACTGTTCTGAGCTGCTGGAGGGCCACCGCCCAAGTCCCCACGAAATAAGAGAAACAAAACAAAGAAGGAAACTCCGGGTTCCCTGTTCAGGCTCCCAGTGTCCATGGATGGCACCCTGGTCACTCTGGTGAAAACCTACCTGTCATCCTCGATTCCTCTTGGCTTCATCCCACGTGCAGTCCACCAGCAAGTCCTGTTTCCCTGTTTCAGACACATGCAGATCTGGCCAGCTCCTGGTCAGATGCACTGTACTTGCAATAAAACTCGTACCACGAGGTACTGCCCATCTCTCCTCACTCGCTTCATCCCTGCTCCACCAGCACAGCTAGTAAGGCCCCAGGGCCTGGGCACATGAGCACCCACGGCCCAGACACTCTTCCCTGGGACCTTTCCCGGCTCTGCAACCTCATGCTCCCAGCTGCAGCACTGCCGCCTCAGAAAGACATTCCCAACAGCACACAAAGTAGCAAACATGGTGTCATGACCTTGAAACAGCCATCCCTCCTCATTCAATAGCTATAAACCCTGAAGAATGTGCTCTTGCTGATATCATCCCCATGTGTTACTTTGATGAAAATCCCAGACATCAAAGAATTTCATGTGTAAATATGTCAGTATCTCTAAAGAGAAATTGTATCCTTAAAGGAAGACAGGTCTCCTATTCCTAGGAAGCTGTCCCTTCTCTGTCCCCTAGCCCTTCCATTCTTCATGGAGGTCCCAGTACGTTTCACTTTCTGGCATTTATTTTGCTCATTGTTATTTCATTATCAACCCCTTCTCCAATCTATGAAATGTAAGGGCCTTGAGAACGGACTCTGCCTGCATTGTTCCCATTAAACATCAGAGCAGTGCCCGGTGCCTGGGGCATGGTGGGTGCTCAGAGGAAGGCCAGGGACAGAGCTGCTGTCTCCCGAATGTTAGTCTGCTTGACAAGTGCCAGGGGAAGGGGAGATGGATGGATGGACATGTCCATGTACATTATTCTCATGATTTATTTTTTTAGCAAGAAACACCATGAATGTAACAAAGGAGAAACTAATTTGCCCAGGACATATATTTGAGATGGAAGGAGAGTAAGTGTTTCAATCTGGGAGCCAGGGGGCAATTGGGGGCCAGGTGAACTGCCTAGGAAATGGGGTGCCGACTCTGCTGAGGCAGCACCTGTCTGTCTCCAAGAGGTCTCAGGGCACCCTCCATGTTGGTGATCACCCCAAGGTGCTCAGGGATCTGATGAGGAGGGTGGGGAGGGGAAGGTGAGGTGCAATGATGAGGGCAGGTGGGGAAGACAATGTCACCTGGGATGGCAGCCTTTGGAGCTAACATACTGTGTGAACACAGAAGGCTGGGCATGGTGACACCAAGCAGCCACTTCTTGTCACGTATCCAAAGCCACAAGGGCACCTGCTCCACTTCAGGGCTCCTCCCTGCTGCTCAGCTTCCTTGCAGAGATGACTCTAGTGCTTGAGGATGAACTCTCCTTACCCAGTGTCAGCTCTCCCATGGCCCCGAAGCCCGATGTTGAAAGTCATTACAGTAAGAACTGTGGGCTGCAGTTGTGGCCGAGTGCAAGAACTGTGTGTATGTGGGCCAGCGCTCACCACCTGCCCTTTCTGTTCTTCAGGAGCGCCGTCATTGATTACAGCCTGGACAATGGTGCAACCTTCCAGAACCTAACATTGAAAATGATCAGTAAGAACTGTGTGAGTGTCAGGGTGGTGCCATGAAGATCACCCCAGGGACAGACACCCTGTGTTGGCCAGAGAGGGGGAAAATGACCCTAGGCAGGTCCCGCAGGTAGCTTGTGCAGACAGAGGCACATTGCACAGACCATCTGGGGCCCTTCAACCTTCACTAGGGGGCTGTCCACCGACTTAAGCTTGGGCAGAACCCTGGAAGTATGTCTACGAGGCAACTGGGTGCTGCCAGATGTCCTTCCCTTGCAGAACATGTGACCTCTGGGTGCACATGTCACTGACGCACTCAGAGGGACAGATGAGAGCTCTGAGCAGACTCAGAGACTGTTCCAGGCTCTGCCCACACGGTCTTCCTCCTTGACTCCTGTCCTGGCCCTGGTCCAGTGGTTGGGGTTTCACGGTCCGTCTAGATTCCAGTGGAAGTGAGTGGGAGAGGCTGGAATGCTGTGAGCTGGGGGCAGAGTTCAGAACCTCTGGGGCACCCAGACCCTCCAAATCCAGGTCCAGGGAAGGGATCTGGAGGGCGGGACCAGCAGTGGCCCTGCACAGTGAGTTCCCATGGGCTTGGAAAGGTTCTTGAAAGGCTCTGAGCCCTGGCTGGTATTCTCAGCATTTAGAGCAATACCCACAAACTGATGGGTCTTGAGTTCAATTCCCAGGCAAGGACGAGTACCTGGGATGCAAGTTTGATCCCAGTTCGGTCCTGGTTATGCAAGAGGCAACCAGTTGATGTGTGTCTCTCTCTGTCCCTCCATTCTTCCTTCCACTGTATCTAAAAGTTTTTTTAATTAATTAATTTATTTTTGTTACACATGTTTCTCCTTTTTCCCCCACTGATTCCCCCCTCCCTCTCCTTCCCAACCCTGTCCCTAGCTGTGTTGCCCATGTCCATTGTTCATGCATACATGCATATAAGTTCTGTGGTTTATCTCTCCACCACCACTCCCTCTTCTATGGATTGTCAGTCTGTACCCCACCTCCACGGCTCCAGGACTACCCCATTCCTCAGACTGTTATGTTCATTATATTCCACAAATAAGTGAGATCATATGATATCTGTCTTTCTCTGTTTGGCTTGTTTCGCTTAGGATAATAGTTTCCAGGTCCCTCCATGTCATTTCAAAGGATAAGAGATCTTTCTTTCTTACAGCTGCATAGTACTCCATTGTGTATATGTACCACAGCTTTTTATCCACCCATCTATTGATGGACGTTTGGGCTGTTTCCAGATCTTAGCTATCGTAATAGTGCTCCTACAAACATGGGGGTACATATATTCTTTCTGATTGGTGTTTCAGGCTTCTTAGGGTATATGCCTAGAAGTGAAATCACTGGGTCAAATAGCAGTTCAATTTTTAACTTTTTGAGGTAACACCATAGTGTTTTTTCCATAGTGGCTACACTGGTCTGCATTCCCACCAGCAGTGTACTAGAGTCCCCGTTTCTCCACACCCTCGCCAACACTTGTTTGATGATTTGTAGATGGCGGCCATTCTGACAGGTGTGATGTAATGTTATTTTAATTTTCATCTCTCTGATGATTAGTGATGTTGAGCATTTCTTCCTATGTCTCTTAGCCATTTGTATGTCCTGTTTGGTGAGGTGTCTATTTAGTTCCTCTGCCCATTTTTCAATTGGGTTCTTTGTCTCCTTTTGTTGAGTTGTATGAGCACTCTATATATATTGGCAATGAACCCCTTATCTGATATATCATTGACAATTATGCTCTTCCATTCAGTGGGTAGCCTTTCCATTTTGATGATTTTATCTTTTGCTGTGCAGAAGCTTTTGAGTTTGATGTAGTCCCATGTGTTCATTTTCTCCTTTGTTTCTGTTGCCTTAGTTGATGTATCAGTGAAAATTCTGCTTATGATGTCTGAAATTTTGTTGCCTATATTTTCTTCTAGGATTTAATGAATTTATAAGTCTCATTTAAGTCTTTTATCCATTTGGAGTTTATTCTCGTGGGTGGTGTAAGTTGATGGTCTAGTTTCATTTTTTTGCATGGAACTGTCCAATTTTCCCAACACCATTTATTAAAGATGTTATCTTTACTCCATTGTATGCTCTTGCCACCTTTGTCAAATATTAATTGAGCATATTGCCTTGGATCTATTTCTACATTCTCCGTTTTGTTCCACTGGTCTATGTTCCTGTTCTTGTGCCAGTACCAAGCTGTTTTGATTACAGTGGCTTTGTAGTATAAAGTGAAATCTGGTAATGTGATTTTTTCCTACTTTGTTCTTCTTTTTCAAGATTGCTGTGGCTATTCAAGGTATTTTTTGTTTCCATATTAACTTTTGGAAACATTTGTTCGAGTTCTGTGAAGTATGTCGTTGGTATTTTGATGGGGATTGCATTAAATCTATAGATTGCTTTGGATAGTGGGGACATTTAAATGATGTTAATTATTCCAATCCATGAACAAAGTATATGCTGCCACTTTTTTATATCTTCCTCTATTTCTTTTTTCAATGACCTGTAGTTTTCTGTGTATTTGGTCCTTTATTTCTTTTGTTAAGTTTATTCCTAGGTATCTTGATTTTTTTGCCACAATGGCAAATGGGTTTTTTTTCTTAGATTTTCTTTCCATGAGTTCATCAATGGTGTATAAGAATACCATCTATTTCTTGATGTAATTTTGTATCCTGCTACTTGCCAAATTCACGTATTAAATCTAAAAAATTTTTGATGGTGTCTTTGGGGTTTTCTATGTATAGTATCATGTCATGTGTGAATAATGACAGTTTTACATCCTCCTTTCCAATTTGGATACCTTTTATTTTTTCCTCCTGTCGACTGCTGTGGCTAAGACTTCCAGTACTATATTCAATAAGAGTGGTGAAAGTGGACATCCTTATCTTGTTCCTGTTCTTAAAGGAAATGCTTTTAATTTTTGCTCATTGAGTATAATGTGGCTGTATGTCTTTTCTATATGGATTTATTATGTCAAGATATGATCCCTCTATTCCCACATTGCTGAGCATTTTTATGAGAAATGGATGCTGGAATTTGTCGAAGGCTTTTTTGACATCTATTGATATGATCATGTGGTTTTTATTCTTCATTTTATTTATGTGGTGTATCACATTTGTTGATTTGCAAATATTTTACCAGGCTTGCATCTCTGGGTGACTCCCACTTGATTATGGTGAATAATTTTTTCGATGTATTGCTGCATCTGATTTGCTAGTATTTTGTTCAGGATTTTGGCGTCTATATTCATTAGGAATATTGGCCTGTAGTTTTCTTTCTTCGTAGTGCTTTTTTCTGGTTTTGGAATTAGAAGTATGCTGGCCTCATAAAATGAGTTTGGAAGTCTTCCTTCTTCTTGAATATTTTAAAATAGTTTAAGAAAAATGGGTGATAGTTCTTTTTGTATGTTCGCTAAAACTCCCCTGTGAATCCATCCAGTCCTGGGCTTTTGTTTGCTCAGAGAGTCTTGGTTACATCTCCACTTTCCTTAGTTGTTTTTGGTCTGTTCAATTTTTCTATCTATTCCCTGTCCAGTTTTGGGAGACTTTATATTTCTAGAAATTTGTCTATTTCACTTAGATTGTTGAATTTGTTGCCATATAATTGTTCATAGTAGTTTTTAACTATCTTGTATTTCTGTGGTGTCAATTGTTACTTCTCCATTTCATTTCTGATTTTGTGTATTTGGGTTCTCTCTCTTTGTTTCTTGGTGAGTCCAGCTAAGGGTCCATTCATCTTGTTTATCTTTTCAAAAAACCAGCTCTTTGTTTCATTGATCCTTTGAATTGTTTTTTTGGTCTTTATATCATTTAATTCTGCTCTGATCTCTACTATTTCCTTCCTTCTACTTGCTCTGGGGTATTCTTTTTGTTTGCTTTTTAGTTCTTTAAGTTGTGAGGTTAGATAGTCTAGTAGAGATTTTTCTTGCTTCTTGAGGTAGGCCTGTAGTGCTATGAACTTCCCTCTCAGAACTGCTTTCACTGCATCCCATAGACTTTCTGTTGTTGTGTGTTCATTTTCATTGGTTTCCAGGAATTTTTTATTTTTTCCTTGATCTCCTCTGTAACCCATTCATTGTTTAATAACATGCTATTTAGCCTCCATGTGTTCCAATGTCTTTACATGTTCTTGTTGCAATTGATTTTTAGTTTCATGCCATTGTGATCTGAGAAGATGCTTGATATGATTTCAATCTTCTTGAACTTGTAGAGACTTAGTTTGTGTCCTAACATGTGGTCTATCTCTGAGAATGTCCCATGTGCACTTGAGAAATATGTGAATTCTGCAGTTTTGGGGTGTAATTCTCTAGATATTTATGAAATCAATTTGATATAGCACTTCCTTTAGAGTCTCTGTTACCTTGCTAATTTTTCATCTGGAAGATCTATTCAGTGATGTCAGTGGGATTTTGACATCACCTGCTATGATTATATTGCTATCAATTTCTCCTTTGAAGTCTTCCAGAAGATTTTCAATATATATTGGTGCTCCTATATTGGGTGCATATATGTTTATCAAGGTTATATTTTCCTCTTGGATAGATCCTTTCAGTATTATGTAGTGGCCTTCTTTGTCTCTAGTTATGGCTTTCATTTTCAAATCTATTTTATCAGATATGAGTATTACTACCCCAGCTTTTTTTTTCTTTTCCATTTGCTTGGAAGATTTTTTTTTCATCCCTTCACTTTCAACCTATGTGAGTCTTTTATTGTGAGGTGGGTCTCTTGTAAACAACATATATATGAGCCATGCTTATTATCCAATCAGCTACTCTGTGTCTTTTTATCAGAGCATTCGATCCATTTACATTTAAGTTGATAATTAATATGTACTTATTTATTGCCATTTTTGTTTAGTGCGGTTCTATTTTTCTTCCTATTTCTCCCACTAATTATAGCAGTCCTTTTAACATTTCTTGCAGGGCCAGTTTGGTGCTAATGTATTCCCTTCACCTTTTTTTTTTTTTTTTTTTTTGTCTGGGAAGCTCTTTATTTGACCTTCTATTTTGAATGATTGCCTTGCTGGGTAGAGTAGTTGTGGATTCAGAGCCTTGT